GATTATCTTTATAGTGTTGCGACTAGTATTAATCGCGAATAGTCAAAAAAATCAAATATCTTTTTCTGCATATACATATTTTATCTTTTACTGGTTTCATTTTAAGAATTAGTGTTGCGCTTTACTTGTATCGCGGTTTTTCTGATTGTTTTTATTATTAGTGTTGCGTTGAAGAATGATCGCGTTTCTTGAATTAGTGTTGCGAATATAGAATGCCCAGGATTTCATCACTGATGTGGTGAAAATATGTTCCTGTTCCTGAGAATCACCTGTTGCAACTACAAGAGTTGCATATAGGTGGTCATACATTAGCAGCCCGCACCATGGCTGCCCTGGATTTTTCGTCATTAGTGTTGCGAATTTTTTTGATGCGAGTGCATAAATCATTAGTGTTGCGAATTTTTTTAATGCGAGTGCATAAATTAGTATTTATTAGTGTTGCGTTAATAATTGAATTATATTATTATGATCATTTTCGCGAGTTCTCTGCCTTTTTTTGTTTATTTTTCTTTTTAATGTTCTTTTTTCGTAAATGCTAAATTAATTATTATTTTTAATATCAGGAAGCACTCTTCGCGGTTGATTTTGAAAATTGTCTGTTATCAGACAATTTAGTAAGTTAGTGTTGCGAAATTATAATTTATTTATTCCACTCGCGGTTTGTTTAACGGGTTCATATCGAGTGGAAATATTTATTTTTGTGGCTATTTTGGCTACCATTGTATTTTCTTTTTCGGCACCTTTTTTTTACTGAAATATTTGCTGATGAAAGTACTGCTGTAATATGTATATGTCTTTTTTCCATTCCTTTTTCTTTTTTTATCTTTTTTGCAATACTCGCGATACACGTTTATTTTGCAAGGTATAGTTTTGCATAATAATCGTTTTGTGTGTGTAACTCGACTCTTCGTGGATGTAATGAGAGTAACATTTTTCTTTTGTTCGTGTTCGGGAAAATTATTGATTTTTATTTATAGAAATTCATTCAAATGAGTTGCAGTAAATGTGTGATTATTTCAATTTCAAATTTTTGACAAAATATTTTTGTCTGTTATTGAAATTCTTGTTAATATGTGGTATGTCTTCTTTCAGGAGTGATTGTTTTGTGACAGTTTTGTTCTCATTCCCCAACTATTAATCTAGTAATTAAGTTTGTTGCAGATTTATTAATTTAGAACTCTTTCGTGTCACCATGTTCAATATCATTTCAAATATATGAACTTATGTGAGTATGTCAGAGGCTCAGAATTGAAATAACGGACGTGGAAGGAAATGACATTATGGAAAGTGATGTATGAGCCTCATTTATTTTTTTATTATCATTTCCATAATTTTTATGTATGATCATATATATTATTATTTATAATAATTTTACTATTTTTTCTACAGTGTGTTGTGTTTGGGAAACGTTATGGTGCGAACGGAAACTGTGTGAGTGGCTTCAACGCCCACACAGTGTCTCTTTAATATTCAGATTTTTCTGATCAAATACTTGGTTTCTTGTGTATATAAGATGTTTGAAATTTTCTATGGATTTATGATAGAAAGGTTTTGCGAAAACCCTCTAGATTTGTGATAGGTCGGTTATGTTGAAACCTCCTAGATTTGTGATAGGTAGAGATTTCATTAAAATTCATCTGGTTTCTGATAGGATACTGTGAAAGATATCCCTAATCTCCCTATACTTGGTACTTTAAGATATTTTTAATTTCGATGTAAGTAGGGCTGACAATTTTTTTTTTAGGTTCTTTGTATTACTGGAGGCTGAAAGTCACATTTATTTTCCCGTGTATTTATTATGTTTGAATTTTCTTTGTTGGTTGGGTTTGTACTTGCCTTTAGATATTGAATAGAAGGTGAATTAGTCTGTCACCTTTGTACGCTATTATGATATTAAGGAGAATTTATGGTTATGTGTGTTTATGTCAAGTTAGGATTATGATTAAGTTAGTTGTTAATTACGATCAGTGCTGACACATTAGTCTTTAAGTTGAGTAAAATTTTATATTGGTAAGTAATATTAAGTGGTATTGAGTAGTATTAATTTGCATGAAGTGGGTAGTATTAAGTAATTTTAGGTAGTATTAAGTAGTATCGGATAGTATTAAGTAGTATTGTGTAGTATTAAGTAGTTTGGGTAGTATTAAGTAATATTGGGTCAACTATTCTATATTTTCAAGCCGATATGCATGTACAGTATTGATGTTTGTACGAGACATCACCTGCTTTTTTCATCTTTTTAAATATCGATTGTTATATTTTTGATTAAAAATGAAGCTGTGCAATATTGACCAATTGTAGGATAATATCATCTGACATAATTTATCTCTTTCTTCTATGTTTAAATTGTCTTTTATTTCCAGGTTTAATCTGTCTTTTACTTCTAGGTTTAGTCTCCCGCGTCGGTTTTTTGTTTACTTTCTTTTGATGTTTGATTTACACAACGATCCGAAATTCAACGTTTTGCAAACGTGCATCAAAAGAGAAATGTATTTGTATATTAGTAAATTTTTCGCGAAAGGTGGGTGGATGGGTCGTGGTTAGGGTGGGTCTCCACTCGCAGCACCTCCTCGTGGTGTGACCTGGGCAATCGGTATTATTTGACGTATAATTCCTCATTGTATCACTATAGTTGTATCATCTATAACTAATAGGCGTGATACAAATATGAATTATATTGCAAGTAATATGAGCTAATTGGCTGCGATTTTGCTGTTGTTGATTATTGCGTATGAGATTAAAGGAAAGTGATGAGTTAGGATTCCTTTTCTATTTATTATACATATAACTTCCATATATAAATCAAATAAAATATCCATCATTGCAGTATATACCATTTATCTACTGTAGGTAATGTTGCTATTCACATTTATTTTGATGAAGTGTTTGAAATTCTCGAGGTAATATACTTTTTCGTGGCATCCACAAATATTTAAAATAGCAGATTATAGAACAGAATTAACATTTTGTATATTCTGGTTACTCTGCTTCTACGAGTTCCTGAGCACTCATTCCCAGCTTACATGCAACGTTACCGACAGTGGGTTAAAACGAATTATAGGGAATGATGGTAACCATAACGAACTCGGATAAAGTAATCTGTTTTGGATTAAAAATAAATTCAATTTCATGAAAAGTATAATTTCCGCTAGAGTACGAAATTCTTAATATAATAAAATGTCATACAATACAGCAAAACAGGAAAGCAATGCTTACAACTACGATAAAGTGAAACAGAAAAAATTGCAGATTACAAGTATTGCGAAGCTGGAAAGTGTATATAATGGTATAGATTTACTGTGTGCTGTCTTTGCTGGTGTATTCTATATTTTTTAGTTACGATGAAATTAAAGTGAGGAATAACTTTAGGTTGTCAAAAATGTTTAGAAAATCACGATAGGCGATTAGTCAACGAAGGCAGTTTTGGAAAATATCGGTAAATAATCGGTAGTAGATGCTGTACTTCAGTTGTTCTATCTTATCGTATGAAGGTAAGGAAGTTTATATCTTGATAACGTTTCACTTATTTTCCGTAATGTGGCTGTACTTTCGAATTTAAATTCTTAGAATTTTGTCACTGAAAAGTTCTGAGATAGTAGGATTTTCCTTCGTGTTGCGAGGCCAAGTTATTTTATTTCAAGAATAGCATAATACTATGTTGCTTGAAAATATTTCTTGTTCTTTTGTACCATCTAACTCGATCGATTCGATGCTTATTCAGTAGCTATATGAAATTTCGTTTCCCTAATTCCTTGAAATATATCCATTAAAGAATTAAATATATAATATGCTAATGGAGAAGCTATTAAAAACCTATAAGTCTTAAATTGTGTTTAATTTAACAATCAATTCATCTAAGTACTCGACATTCTTCTGTTATTTTATTTTTCCATTTCATCACTGCTACGATTTATCGATCAATAATAGGGAAATGAATTCATTGTATAGATAAAATAACTTTCTTGAGGTTTGAGATACATTTTAATAATATTCTTCTCAATAATAAGTACGTTTTTAATTAATTTGGTCATTGTAGAACGCGTTCATGTTTGTATACATCTTTTACATCTTTTTCATAATTTGCCTTTTGTCAATAGAATTCTTAATTTTTCTTAACTTCAATAAAATTTGACTGAAAAATTCAATTATATTGACATTTTCGACTAATATCGTGATGAGCTAATTTTTTGTTAATGTTGGTATACACCTTTTACATCTTACACATCTTTATCATAATTTGCCTTTTTCGCATCTGGTGTTAAATTATATATCCAAATTTCGCTTTGAAAATCGCACTCAACAGTGCATTATCTCGCATGTGTCGCTTATATAATATAATACGCAACAGTTGGCGTGAATTACAAGTGTATCACGAAGATATTGTACGATCAATGTAAGTTGTCTAATACGCAACATGTGTCGAAGAATAATCACTACTAGAATTGACTTTGAATTTTGCAGTTCAAGAACTATAAATTTCATCTGAATCAGAGGTCTGTTAGGTAGAAATTTCTCGTCGTTATAAAATAAATTTTACCACTTGCCTCTTAATCTTTTCTTCAAATTATATATCACGTTTTCAGAAAATGTATAACGAATTTGTCATTCGACTGTTCTGAAACGAGAAATATAGCAATTTGGACTATATAGGAATTTTTTAGAGATATCATGATTATGACTTATAAACATTCTGAGTTATTCATTGACTAATTCATCTCTAAAAAATTCATTTTTCCTCTTGCCAGTATTACTCATATTCTCGAATTTGTTTACATCTTCATCTCGTCACAGTTGTATCAACGAGTCAACATCTCGGACAGGTTTCTCGCTCTTAGGATATTCGTTTTATTTTTCCCTGTAATATTTATATAACTCCAGTAACCTTACATCGTTCCATCTTCATCCCAGGGTTCTTCGAACAGAGCAGAAATTCGCCATTAAAATTCAAGTCCATGTTCCCCTAAGTCTCCGAACGATAATTAAAACATGTGTGAGGCAATGGACATAATAGAAGAAAAGAATGGAATCGTTATGAATTTCGCAAAAATGTGCCAATCATAATGAATTTCGTTGAACTCTCGAAAAAAGATCGTGAACGAAGCGAGCATCGAAGATCTCGATCAAACCATCAAACATCGTCCCCGGCATCTGGATGGTTCCCAAAGGCTGCTGCATACCAGACGGCGCATGGTCGCGCTAGTTTATCGCGAATTGGGAGCCAGAGGCTCGAAGGGAATCGTAACCTTCGCGGATGCATCGTGGGCGAGCAATGAGCAGCGGACATTATTTTCGAACTGTCCGTGGGAAAGCTGCGATCGGTGGAGGATGAGTCGAAGGGTATATATCGGCTGGCATTGCGCAACTCCGCGGCGAAAACGCGGGGGACCGCATGGCGCGGTGGAGTCGCTGTTGGCGCATGCGCGGTGATTTGGTTGGGCCGCCGTGGCTGCGTCTCCTCCGAAATGTTGATGCTAAATAAAACTCCTAGCTGCTTGGGACGATGCCATGCGTTCTAATTTTCACGAAGGCACGGTCGCTGGTGGACGTCGGTAGCCCGGGACGTGGTCTGCCGCGTCGTTGGAGGCGGATGATACGATAGTCTTCCGAAGCTCTCCGGGTTACCTGTTCTTCGTGGCGAGGAGAGGAGGGAAGTCGCTAGAGGACGAGTAGAAACGTCTCTTTCTTTTTCCGTTGAGGCGATATACGAGAGAAAAATCGGTGGCCAGGCGATTTCGGCAATCGCGAGGAGTATCGCGGTGATCGTGAGTTAGAGTTGCTAGCGCTGCTGACCGTGGCAGCCGACTAGCCAGAGAGAGGAAGCCAAGTACCGAGAGATTAGGCTTCGTCGGCCAACCAAATCCGGACCAGAGTGCTCCGTCCGCGGTTTTTCCATGCGAACGCTCCGGTGACATGGCTGCCGCCCTTCTGGGCAAGTGCATCGGCTTACTGGCTCTGGTGTTGCTTCTCTGCAGTTGTTATGCCTTCCGCATACGCGACCACCCGGGGCAAACGGCCTCCCTGTCCTCGACGGAGCAGCCGCAACGCGCCGCTTGCACTTCCATCTTTGGCAGATGCCAGGAGAAGACGATCACGGCCACGTCGACCAGCCGAAAGTGGCACGACACGACTGCATCGCGTCTTGCCAGCACCGCTCGGAAACCACCTGTCGAGCTGACGTCGACGGATGACGACGATGGAGGGTCGGGGGAGGAACACGAGAGACGCGAGAGGACCGGGCGTTTCGTTGATTCGCTAGCGAGGGATAAAGCTTCCGGGGTGTCGAGAAGCATCGAGATCGACGAGGACGAGGATGGAGAGGAGGCGATTGTAGAGGTGGAGGAAGACAGTGCGGAGGAGATTGCGAGTGATGATCTGGAAGCTGAGGATTCCGATGACGCTGGAGAAGAGAATGCCGAAGATGGCGATAGCGAGGACGACGACGACGATGTTGAAAAGAAAGAGGAAACGAATAGGGATCAGAAATTGAAGCAGAAGGTTGTAAAAGATAAAGACGACGAGGACGATGAGGAAGAAGAAGAAGAAAAAGAAATCAAGGGTAAGAAAGGTTTTCATGGGAAAACGAGCAGAATAATGAAGACAGTTGTTAAGAGTACAAAGAAAATTGCAGAGGATACGGAAGAGGAAGAAAAAAGTGAAAGAGTAGATTTGAAGAGGAAAGTAAGTTTGGAGAAGGGATTGAAGGGGACGGTTAAGTCTCAGAAACAGGAGAAAGTTGTAGAAGATGAGGAAGAAGAGGAAGAAGACAAGGCAAAAGACGATGACGTAGATAAAGACGAGGATGAAGAAGAAGAAGAGGAAGAAGACGAAGATGAAGACGAAGAAAAATCAGAGGAAGTAGTTCCTACTCCTCGGTCAGTAAGGAAACTAGAAAAAGTTCGACACGCGGATAAAGAAAGGGTTAGATCCACGGAAACTATTCCTTTCGTAGAAAAATCGAAGATCGAGGTGAAGGAACCCTCTAAAATAGACAAGAAACCAGAGGAGATCGCGAGGAAGATCGAAACAATGAAGAAACCGGTTGAGAAGAAACCAATGGAAGCCACGAAGAAAATCGAACCCAGGACAACGAAATCTGATCTCGAACCGTCTAAATCTACATCGAAGCCGGAGGAAGAGGCAAAAATTGTGGCAAAACCAGACGAGAGGACGAAAATTCCGGTGAAGCCGGACGATAAAGCAAAAGTTTCAGTGAAACCGGAAGAGTCGAAGACGCGAGAATCAGCGAAGCAATCGGAAACGGTGAGAGTGAAATCAACCAGTGCTCGACCTGCTCCGGCTAAAGTCGCGGAAGTTAAACGATCCGATAGTGAGTATCAGCGAAGAATTATATGTCAGTGGCTAATTTGCTTTTTCGAAATTTCTAACATTCCTATGGTTCAAATTCGAGAGGAAATATAAGAAATGCATGTATCGTTTTCATTCCTTTCCCATTTTGTCGAATGAGATCAAAGGGCTGTATTGTTTATAGAAGACGAGCCGAAAGTAAAAACGAAAACGCACGTGGATGCTGCTTTCACTTTGGCTCGATTGAACGATGCGATACTACGCGTGCCGACCTTCGTGCCAAATTTCACGGCCGTTGAGAATTTCGAGTGTCAGCAGCACGGCAAGATTTTCCTACGACAATTAAGGGGGTACAAGTTATGGGCCTTGCAAAGTAAGTCCAATATTTTCACGTACAAATTTCTTCGTGTTCCTCGTGGATAATTCAATTTCGTTGAATCTTCTGCTACTGGTGACGGAAAGTATCGTTCTGCTACTGTCGATGGAGAACGAAATAAAATTACTGGAAGATAGTTTTGCTTGTAAGGCTTCAAGAATATTTAGTCTGATTGAACGAAATTGAAATTATTCGTAGATTGTATCGTATTTGATTACGATTAACATTAAAATACATTATTGGAATAATAAAATCGATATTTTAAAATTGTAGTAATAAAATTGATATGTGCATACCAATGATATCGATGTAATCTTATTATTCCAATTGGAAATTTCATATACTAAATTGTTTTTCATGTTGTACGTTACGTGTTTTTATTACATACCATTGCATATCGTTTGTAAATTCTTAGATATTAATTTATTCTGGAAATATTTAGAATTGCGATCTTATCCTGTGTGTTACTAATTCAGCAAATTTATATTTTATCATATAATCGAATTATGTTCTTTTTGTGGTGCAGTGCTAGATTCGAGCGCGAAAATTCCATCTGGACTTTTACGAGGGAACGTGAACCAGTTTGGAGATTTTGACGAGTGTCTAGGTGTGATGGCGCATGTGAAACTGAATGAAAACACGATAAAGGTGCAGGGAAAATATTGTCTGGCCAAAATAGATTTGTATCCCTCTCATCCGAACATGAAGCTTCCGGTTAATATGATGCAGGCACGTGCTTTCATAAGAGGAAACATGCATGACGTAAGTAAATGACTCTGTTTTTCGTTATCATTTTTCCATGACACTAATAGCGGCCAAGAGAAAGTACTGTTATAAATAATCTTCCTACTAAGAAAATAAAACAGGAAAAAGAAACATAACAGTGGGGAATAATATAATTGGAAATTTTACGTCATTTCATACTAGAGTCCGTGTGAATTTACAATTAAAGAAATAAAATAAAGGAGAACTTTTTTTTAATAAAAAATTTAGAAATTTGCGGTTGTAATAAATAAATTGTAATAAATTCTTTCAGCCTGGTCATTTTATTCCAAAATTCACGACAGTAAACTGGGCGCTGTGTCTTCCGGCTGTGTGCTCCGCAGAAGACGCACATAGCGTCCTCAAGCAGGCATTGGACGACTATAATTCTACTACAGGGATTACATTTATGATAGATGTCGATCCTAACATGTGCTACGTCAAACAGAAATCACGGATCTATTCGAAGGAGACGATCGGCGTTTTGTACGTATTTATATATATACTTTTCAAGTTCTTCATCCTCGAGCCTTCAAATATCAAGTGATTTTCCAACTCACGTTATTATATTAAAAGCTATAACCGTGTAATAATATAATATAAAATAAAATACGTTATATTAATCCTTGCTTTCGCTTGCAGATATTTCTACGCAATGATCCTTTGCCTGGTTGCTGTTGCAACTACGAGAGATTATTTAGTGGTATCGGAAGGAAAAGGTAGATTCTCATAACATTCTATATTTTCTGTAAGTCAGTGCGCTTGAAAATTCGCTTTGTTTAAACAATCCGGTTTCAAGGAGCGTTGCATTCACGTGAAATATGTCGCGATAAATGGTTCGTTTAAGATTGATGGTTTTCTCTTTTATAGGTAATTATTCGGAGAGAATAATAATGTCCTTTTCCTTGCGGAGATCCTTTCGATCGTTACTGAAGAAAGGATCGAGGGAAGTTGATATTACGTGCATTCATGGAATAAGAGCACTCGTCACGATTGCTCTTTATATTGCTCATCAGGTTATAGCAATCTCGAGGTTACCGTTTTTCAATCGAATCGAGCTCACGGAGGTAAGCATAAAAATGTCAGTACAATTGTTATCTTGTTGTTTACGTTTACGTTTAATGCCTGATGTTAAAATAGCTGGCAAATACACCGATCACGTCCGTTTTGAGGGTATCCATGGTGTACACGGACGCGTTTTTATTACTCAGCGGTGTTTTAACTGCTTACAATATGGCGCATGAATTTATCACGCGGGGTGAGATTCGATGGTTCTGCCGTTTTATTGCCAGATATATCAGGTAAGATGTTACACGAATAGTTTTAATTTTTAAACTACTTTCAATCATTTCATCAATGTCTGTATTTTCATTTTATTTATTTAGTGAAGATATCTGTAATCCTTTTGTAAGCATTTTTATACTGTATTATTCTATATATTATAAAGTGTGTATAAAGTCCAGAATTAATTTCTGTTTTAATTATATGACTATGTATTTAGATACAATTTATTTTTACTTATAAAAGGATAAAAAATGAAATGTTTGAACGTCAATTTATAACCAAGTTTACATTAAATGTAAATTTTCATTTTAATCATAAAGAACTGTATTGCCTTATACTTCAGTTCAGAAATATATTAATCCGTTTATCGTTACCATTTAGACTCACTCCAGCGTTACTCGCAGTGGTGTTTTGGTACGCATTCGTAATGGAACACACTGGATCGGGACCACAATGGAACAGCATTATAATACCAAATGCAGAGCTTTGTAAAAACAACGCGTGGACGAATTTGTTGTACATACAAAATTTCTTTCCCTTCGAAGAAATGGTACTTACCCATTTTATTAATGTTTCTTCATGTACTAAGATTGGTCCCTATGTTTAGTCATTGCTCGAAACTATTTTATTCTATTTAACAAAATTTTTGCAATTCGCAGTGTGCAACTCATACCCACCAGTTGGCTTTGGACATGCAATTGTCGATATTAGCCCCAATGTTGGTATTCTTTTTAGAATGCAGACCAGTGATTGGATTACTTGTAATATTTTTCTTCACTTTATTGTCAGCTACACTTCGTTACATATCAACGATGAACAGTTACCTTTCTCTCGTTATTTTCCATGGCATGTCGTAAGTATATATTTCTTAATTTTTAATACGAACTTTATACTTCATTATTTTACACGTAACTTTTTCTTTTCAGGTTGAAGCACCTTTACAGAACTGCCAACTTAGTTTACGCATTGCCATTACATAGAGCCACGCCATACGTTTTTGGCGTAGGACTTGGTGTGCTGTTACGTTACACCGGAAGAGACGTCAGGATCCACAAGGTACATCAAGTTCCTGTGACATGACCAACAAATATGGTATTCTTTAGATTGGAGATTTATTATAAATTAAAGAATGAAATAGAATTTTAAAGATCCTTAGAAATATGTTTTCTCTAACTAAAATTGTCAAACGAGTCAAAATGACTAATTGTAAGTCAAAAAGTTTGCATGATTTCAAATTCTTTGACTCAGTCACTTTTTATTCTTGGAATTATTGAAAATATACAGCTGCATTTGAGGAAGTTAATGCTGACATTTATTAAGATAGAAATGCCAGCATAGATACACGTTACAATTTGATAGTTTTAGTGTTAAACAATGTAAAAGAAAACAAATGATAATAATGATTTACATAACAAGACCAATCAGTAACAATAATAGTTCTGAATCTAATAGATCTCATATAATTTTCTTTAATTTATTTTGGATAAATCTTTAAAAGATATATTACTTTTATATAGCGTGTGAGACGGGAATGGTTAAGAATTGTGATTATTTGTCATTTTTTGTCCATAATACAAAGGTCGTAACCTATTCAGTAGACTCGATATACTAATTTCAGGTGTTAGTGATCTTGGGATGGTTGATCGCTATGGCCTTGGGATCGTGGTCGTTATTTTCACCCTGGCATTTGGCCAGAAGGGACTACGTGTACGATGCTGAAGAAGCAACCAATTACGCTGTAATCAGTCCAGTCCTCTGGGCCTTGGCTTTGTGTTGGCTCATATTTGCATGCTACACGAATCATGGAGGTCCGCTTCTTTATACTCGACAAAATTCAATTATGAAAATTAATATTCTAACGTTTTAAAGACTGTGACAACTGGGATAGATTCTAATTTTTCTTCCATTTCAAATTCCATTTCAAAGATTGGACTTAATATTTGTGTGATAACATAATGTAACATTAAACTTTAATAGAATCTCAATCTCATAACTGTGATAGACTCACAATCTTGATAATATTAATTCTATGACAATTATGTAAAGCACAAATAATTTTGTGACCAATCACTTAACGCTTATTTTATAAATACTTATTTCATATTTACAGGTATAATAAACAGATTCCTATCAAACTATTGGTTAGTGATCTTTAGTAGGATATCGTATGCTGTATACTTAACGCAATTCGCGGTATTTTTCTACAACGTTGGGACCACCAGATACTCTAGCGAGTTTCAGCTTCACAGAGCCGTAAGTAATCGAAGAACTAATATTTATTACCAAGAACAAAATAACGCGCGATATTCGACTAAGTTTATAATACATTTTCAGATCGATCCTCTGGAAGCAGCTACGGTTATATTCATATCGATCCTCCTCACCCTATTCTTCGATATCCCTATGCAAGAAATTAAGAACGTGCTCATGGAAAGCACAGACATTCTGAATGTAGAAGTGCCTAGTAAAGAAAAATCGGCGGTTCAACCGCCAGTGGAGCCAGAGAAACCGTACGAAGCAGAGAAGGCGCACGAAAACGAGGATTTCGACGATGATGAATTAGGTTCTACAGGTTGGGACTGGCAGCGAGATATAGTGGGCGTTAGGGACACGAAATACACGAGCGAAACCCTAGAAGACGAGGAACGAATTGACATACCGATATGGAACAAGTCAGCTGTACGAAGAACATCACTCATCGGTCGCGATTCTCACGAGCCAGAAATGATTCAGCCATCTTGGCTCAAGGATCCAAGTAGAAGATTGTCCAAGAGTGGCGATGAATACAGGGACCGTGGGAGAAGGAGTAGAAGCGGTCAAAGGGATTATCAGGAGCCAGGAAACGAAGCCATGAATCTTTCCAGGATGCAACAGGAGCGTGAAGAAGCTGTTAAGCGAGGCAGACGCTCGCTCTCCAGAAGTCTCGACTCTAAGAGATTGTCAACACGGGACAGTGAGAACGAGGAGGAGTATGCAAGGAGGAGGCAGAGAGAGTACGAGGACGAGGAGGAAGTGGAAGAAGAGGAGGACGATCCTAGACGGTACAGGAGATCTCAGTCCAGAGGGAGATCCGTGATTAGGGAATCGGACGATTATCGTTCGTGGGAGTTCGTCGGTAAGGAACGTTCATCCTCCAGGGGTCCAGACTCTAAAAGGCTCTCGAGAAAATCGGAGGAGCGCGAGTCTGCGCAAAGACAAACAAGACCGCCGCTCTCGAGATCCAGCGACGTTAGGAAAACGATCTCCTCGGAGAGCGATGACGAGCATTCCTCGCAGCGAAGGAAAATTGAGAAAAGGCATCCGTCTGTGGAGCCGAGGATAAGCGACGAGGAGGATTGGGAGAGCGAGCTGAGGATAAGAAGGAAACAATTTATGGAGAAGCTCGCGACCCACCAGCAAGAATCTTTAGCAGACGAGGAAGACGTAAACTCCCTAAGAAGGAGGTCCTCGGCGGAAGGTAAGATAGCCCTGTTGAAGGACCTCACTGCGGATGACAACATGGACTCGTGGACGGTCAGCGTGGGCTCGCGTGTCGCTCAGCTTGGCTCGTCTCAAGAACGCAGCGAAACCGAGGAAGATGCTGCTGCTGCTCGTCGAAGGGAGTATCGTGAACAAGCTCCACCGCCAAGGGAGGACACTCAGAGCGAGGAGGAAGTAATCTGGGACTCGTCGAGGAGACGATCCTACACGAGCAGCAGTCAAGTGACTTCAATCGAGGAGGATGACGACGTAGCTAGTTATGACTTTGTGTTGACGAAAGACAGTAAGAGGATATCCGTGCAAGACTTGTCGAAACTCTCTCAGGATGATTCTGACCTGACGGATTCTGGATGGAACGTTGTAAAAAAGGATAGTGGCGAGGAGTTGCTTAGATCTTCCTCGACGGGTCTGTACAAACGCGAATCGATTATAAAAAGCCAGGCTAGTGAAGAAGATCCGGAGTACCTTCTTCCAGAGAGACCAAAGCTTGTTCAACAAGAACGAGAACATCCGTTTAAAAAGGCTTGGCAGATGCAGAAATCTCGTTCCGAGGAAGACGGTTCTGGGGCGTACGCGATCAAAGAGACGAAAGAGCAACCTAAAACAGAAAGTAAATCGAAAGGCGATGATATTTCGCCGGAGGAAGTTAAGAAGGAATTCGGTGGAGAACAGTATGAAGATACGGGCGCATTCGCCGATGACGAGTCGGAATCGATCACGCTGGCGCGTAGCAGGAGTACTGACACAGAGGAAAACACCAGGACCAGTTCGAAGTCCGAAGAAGTCGAGTCTACCTCGACAGAGAGGAGCAAGAGCTCAGAGACTAACAAAGGTAACCTGAAATCATCGGACGTCGAGGAGGACTCTTTAAGATCTAATTGGCCGTCTGAGGACGAGCAACTGGAAGTTTGTAAAACAGGCCCAAGGAGTAAATCGGAAGATCGGAAGAGACCGAATGGACCTGGGAAAGGGAAGAGACTTGACGGACTGGGCTACCATCGAAGTAAGAAAAAAGATAATAAACGTAAATATAACGAAGTAAATTATTCACGGGGAAGTTACTACTTGGATTAGTCGAGAGGGAAGTATGAACGAATTTTGGGGAGGTGGGGGTAAGGGTCAGAAGGGCTATGGAAGGAATGTGGATCTTCGAGTAGTTGACGATCGATATTTGGATGACTCCGTTGCCAGAGAACCAAGAATATGGAACGAGTCGCTTTCTAGCGTATTTTTACAATTGTTTTATTTTTATGCATATCGAAGGGTGGGACGATTTGTATCTTCTCCACAGCTCTCTGCTGCTTTCTGGTTTAAAGCTCAAAATCGTTTATCCATATTTTAATGTATCGTTATCTCATAAGACTTGGGTGTAACTGTGGAATTAGATATTAAAGGTGTTGTGAATGACAAGACCAGAGTAAGAAACCGTTTACTGTAGACTGTAATAAATGAATTCTTCGTTATACATAGCACTATGAATGAATGAAATAGTTATGTTGAAAAATCGAATTTTCTTTCTTTCGTTATTTATGGGGTTTCTCGTCCGGTTATACGTAATTGTACCATTGAAATTTCACGAAACGTGCTTTTATTGTAAAGAATACGAAAAATACTGGTAATAAAGTGATGCATAAAGTGGAGATTTCACGTAAAGAGTTTTCTTTCCGGTATTTTGTTTCAATATTTCAAACATATTTCGATAAGTATAGTTAAGAAATAAGGCGCAAAAAATTTGTTTAGGAAATTAAAATTAAGGACTTACGGTACTCACTGAGAGGATCAAAAGTTTTTAATCTGCTATTAGAATAAAAATGAATTTTCTTCAAAAAAAAATAAGTGTCATTCCAATGCATAAAACGTATAACATGTAAATAAATCTTACTCGAGAATAAACGAATAGAAGAAATCCAAAAAAAGAAAAAATTTTTTACCTCATCAAACATATGTGTATACTAATAACCTAACACTAAATCAATAACTAAATTGTTTTCGCAGTAAATATTAAATTATCTTTAGAATGCCCATTAATTAAATATTTCTCATTCCTCTCGGTGATTATTGTAACTTCTTAAAATGTTAGATCCCCTTACTTAACACCGTGAAACGATTATTAGGTCCCTTTCATTGATAGAAAATAGATTTACTTTCATAACGTGTCGTAGTAGAGATAATTAGAGAATAGAAAGGCTAGTTCCAACTACATTTATTTCCTTCATATTTCCGAAGTACCATATCCTAATACGTGAGCAAACGAGCTTGAAGTTCAATTGGCTAATTAATAATAGGTGTGCTTCAACTTAATATACGTGGCGCTAGTGTTGCCTAATATCAATAGTATCAATAGTAATCGCGATGTTCGATAGTCAAACCTTATTACAGCTTGCAATAACAATTCTAATAATTTTTACACCTAAAGGGTCAGTTTTAGGATAATACATCTGGCTTTTGGTTATGGCATGAGAATTGGCCAGGATGTTGATAATTTTCGGATAGGGGAAGTTAGGTTTGACATTAGGATTCCTGAGAGCGATCACATTCGAGTCCACGTGGTTCCAAGAAAGAGCAAAGGAATGCAACGAGCTTATATGCGATCAAACGCGAAAATGGCGACCGATAAAGGAGTCTAAGTACGAAATACGACGCATCAATGATCCTTTGATGAATTTACCTCGTAGTGTAGGCGGGTATTTCACGGATTCGTGGGATGTGCACGGTATGAAGACATCGCTGGCCTCGTGTGACAGGCGTAAACGGGCCGAGCTTCGGTGGTCGAGCGATGCAATGAAAAGCGCCGTACGCGGTCGTCTCCTGTGGTCGGTGCCTATGCTGAACGGAAGTAATCCCCTCGGCACTATAAACGCACGCGTACATCACCCACGCCGGATAACGTCCAGCCGAGAATCAGCTTACGAGCAAACGGCGGCCATTATGCGCTCGTATGAGCTCTTTACGAGGTTTCGCGTCGTAAAGCAACGCCGAGGAAAGGCAATCTTTTCTTTTTAACCTGTTTTCGGATGTTCTACCTCGGAAATCGGAAGCCCGTAAACAGACAGAAATAAATCACTCGTGATTCGGCGGGAAATTTATCTCGGCGCGTGCCAACGCTTGCTTGACTTTATCATAAAATCACGATTTCTTGCGTATTTAGTCAATTATGGAGAATGAAGAGTGACATCGCGAAGAAAATATTATTAAAAATTGTCTTCGTTTATTTATGAAATGATATTGTTATTCTATTTATGAATAAGGAAGATTGGAAAATTTGGGTAATAGTGGAATATAAGTTGAAGTTATAGTGTATAGTCACTAGGTCATTCTTGTTTCATGACGATTAGTGACGGTTCTTTGAGGTGATTGTAACTGTAAGATACTGTGTGTTTTTAAATGCCGCGTGCTACCTGGTCTAGTATTTATAAGGACACTTGGTAGGTCTATGTATTTTGCTATTGGATGGTGTGAATAGTGGAATTTCTGAATTTGAGGTGCATGTATATCGTCACTAGGTCGATCTTAGTTGGAGACGATTAGTGTCGGACGGTTCTTTGAGGAAGGTTGTGTCTAGCTTCGAAGTGTTAAGTGGACTGTATTTTAGGAGAACTCTCTTCGTGATTGTTCTGTCGGTGGTTTTACAAGCTTCGTCTGTCTACTGATTGGTTGCGAATAATATTGGGGTGGTGTGCTAGCTCCAGCGTCTTTCGGTGGTGGTGGTTGTTTAAACAATCTGGGCCCTTATGCCTGTCGTCTGAAGGATGATATATTGTAGCCTCTTACGGTTTACCCAAGCGGTGGCTTAGGTGACAATGAGTGTATAGAAGTCAAGGGACACTGACAATAAGGACATAAAACAGTCTTCCACTTGACCTGGGACATTGCGGTCCTAGGGCCGCAACACTGGTACTTGTAAAATTTCAGAGCCTTCGCATTTAGATACACAGTCTGTCCTAAACAAAAGGATGAACGGAACACCGGAGGTATATGATGACCAAGCGTTAATGTGCCATTGCGTTGTACCTGGGGTACCAGATCGGTAATATGGTATTTCTTAATACGACTAATAATACTGCCGAAATGGTATTTCAAGAATTAACATAAACTATTCGAGAGGTATCATAGGATTTAGTAATTCAAGTTAGGATAGTATTAACTGCTATGTCTAATTTATTGGTTAGGCATTGGAAGAAAATAGGAGAAATTATAGTATCATACAATTATAGTATCATAATTACTAGTTATTTTGAATATGTAGGTATTTGATATTGTCATTAAATACTTGAATTTCCAAAGTATCTGTATTCTTTGTACTTTGCTTATTTATCACAGGAAAGAGTACGTTATTTGCACTGTTAGACCTTCTATACTGTAGTACCGTGTAAAAGTCTCAGAATATTTGACTGTTCTAGAAAGTTTCTGGTTCGTATATGTGTATATAGGTGTATATAAGAGTGAAATATCAAAACATTGGATATTCTTCGTGGTCATTCAACCGAGGTGTTCTCGTCGTTTGTTGACAAGGATAATTTCTACAGCGTGTAAGATTTTAGTTCGGTTTGATCTGGTTCGGTTGTGGAAGGGGAACAGAGACCTACTCACTGAATTGGAAATAGCTAGGCGAAAATGCGGTGCGGGACGTCAGTCCAGCGTCGAAAGTTGTGCTCTAAGGTGTATCGTTCTGCTTGAGGTGCGTGACCTGTCTACTACGTAGTACATCCATTGCTGTTTTCTTCTCATGGACACACGTTATTCCGAGGTTCGTTCAATTAATGCTTATTTCATTCTTAGGCGTAATTCGTGAGCGTAAAAATAATTTCCGTAATTTATTTCATAATACATTTTAATGGATAAATTACCAAGTACCTACCCGTGTTTGTTACATAAACTATAAATTAGCTTTTAGCTTACTTTAATTTCGTTTTTCTCGGACCTAGATAGGAAAGAATGTTAGGTTATGTTAGGTATATACGTATATCGCGATAAATATTTTATTTTTATAATAAATTAGGTAAAGAATGACGATAACAGTTCTCATATCGTGTTGTTCAATTTATCTAAATATTTCAATTTTATTTGCAATATTATTGCAATATATTTTATCAAGATATTAAGTAAAATCTTTGAGTATTCTTCAAACTCAACGAACACCTATCTACGTGTCAACTTTCGAAATTAACCCTTTGCACTCGGCGATCTTTTCGTTACAGAAACATAGTAATTCAAAGACTTCCTATAAAGTCGACATTTTCGATATTTTCAAAACGGTAAATAATAAGTGCAAATTAACAATAAGACGTAGAATTATTTTACCTCGATATTTCACGCGTCGTTGGGCAATTTCAAATTCGAGATATTTAATTAACAACGATCTTCAGAATCCGATTAAATGGCGACTGAGAGTCGCCTCTCCAGTGCAAAGGGTTAATAATGCACGAATACAGGATTCGTTCGAGCATTTCGATAATTTTTCATTTTTTGTAACAATTCGAATAAAGAAATGAAATCTATCTGGCGTTCCGTCGACCTCCAATTGTCCCGGTACAAGTCGATAGAATGTAGTCAGAATTTATACCTATTAAACGCATCCCAGCATCGAGTGTCGTGATATCAAATTATCTAACAGAATCCTTGCGCGAAATATACGAATACTCGAGGACTTCGATAAGTGGTTCCAGTCCCTAGGCGTTCTCAGGTATGAAACCACAAAATGGCATAGCCATCGTGAACCCGGACGTTCGAGGAATTCGAAACGGTCGAAACGCGAGTGGTACGACCTTCCACGGATCACTTCCTAGCAGTTTGGACTACCATGCTTCACGAGACCGTGGCTGTGAGCGAAAGCTTGGAACGGGACCCTTGAGATTCTAGAATCCAGGACCACGAACTGCATGACCCTTCATAAGCCAGGAATGCGACAGTGGTACCGATTCAGGTGTTCCGAATCTTTGGCCATTCGCGAACAAGTCCTATCCTTTATTCTCTTTGTCTCGGC